TGTTCTAAATTTCTTTGCCTATGTTCTAAAATTTTCTCTCATGTTCTAAATTATCTTTCCTATGTTCTAAAATTTTCTCTCATGTTCTAAATTATCTTTCCTATGTTCTAAGCCTTTTAATTTCTTATGTGTTCTGAGCCTTTTAATTTCTTATGTTCTAAATATTTTTCTACCTATGTTCTAATTTTTTTCCCTATGTTTTCTAAATTTTTTAACCTATGTTCTAATTTTTAATTCACTCTAAACATTTATCCCGTGTTCTAAGTTTTTTCTAATGTTCTAAGTTTTTCTATATGTTCTAAGTTTTTTCTATATGTTCTAAAATTATTTTCAATGTTCTACATTATGTTCTAAATTATTACATTTGTTCTAAATTAGGCTATAAGGAGAAATAATAAGGTTTACCTTTTAAGTTTGTTTTAGTTATTTATAAAGATAACCTATGTAGGATTCGAACCTACATCTTCTATGCATTTGCATAGTGCTCTACCACTTGAGCTAATAGGTTTTAGCCGTATGTTATTGATCACCACTCCCCCTTAGAAGGGGCGGAAAACAATCACATGTAGAAACTCAAATGCCCCCCGGCCCATTACAATGCCCTGCTACATTCCTCCCTTCACATTTTACAATTTCACAAACCAAAGGGCCCCCCACCCAATACTCCACTAATTTTTAACAACAGCTGCTACTACTTTAAAACTGATAATTATCATACTAGAAAGCTGCATTTGCATTGATAATAACTAATAAAAAATGGCCACATTATATCAAGTTAAATCGCCCCCATCATGTATACAAAACCATCCTAACTGGCCAAGGCATCTACAATTCATTTTGAGACAGTTAAATTTGCAACATCATAAATCATAAGCATGGTGTAAGTCCATCCACCTATTTAAAGCCTTTGAACTCATTAATAATGCCCAGCTGGCCAACATACTCCTCCCACCCCCTACCCCTAGCCTCCTTCCCTCTCTCTTTATCCTCAGTCCCCAAGTTTTGCCTCAAAGATAATGTGTCAATCAATCAATCTAAGGGAAGCACTAATTTATCAGCAACCACCCAATAGATCCATGAAAAATGATATCACTAACAATTAAGAACGCAATAAGAGGTATCACTAACTTAGAACATGATGAAAAAGAGTTTAGAACATGCTAAGCTAATTTTCAATTCACAAAAGTCAATTAATTCATTTAGAAATTCCGAAATTACATAATTAGTTGCAAAACATAATAGACATACAATAAATCATCAAAAACTAAAAACATAAACTATTCAATAAAAGAAATTGAATACAGAACAGAGGTAGCGATATAATCGAACATACTACTAAAATGAAGCCAAAAAAAACCAAAAAGAATCCATGAAAAAAAAAACAAGAAATAATCAAGTAGCGCTGAAATTACCTAATATCGCTGAAATTCGAACACTAGAATCGCTGAAATTCGAACCCTAAATCCGCTGAAAATTCCAGCTCTAAAATCGCTGAAGTTTGAACACTAAAATCGCCAAAAATTGATGAAAATCAAATGAGAAAAATAAAAAATCGACTTGAACTCATGCTAAATTCATGAAAATCAAATCAGAAATATCACAAAAAATCAAATCAGAATTTGGTGATTTTGGAGAGAATTTGGGGGTTTTAGGAGAGAGAGTGCGGTAGTGTGGGTTATGTTTGAGGAGAGAGAAAATTTGGGGTATATATATGATGGTGGTTTGTTTTCATATTTACTATTATGCCATTACTAGTTTTGCTTTAATCTGGAGCGTTTATTACAATCTAATCCTACGGATTAGATTGGTTCTTATATATACTAGGTTCTTATATAAGGAGGGGTTCTTACCGGATCCCTCCCATATATATATATATATATATATATATATATATATATATATATATATATATATATATATATATATATATATATATATATATATATATATATATATATATATATATATATATATATAATTATTTAATATGGAAACTACAAGCTTAAACAATTAAATGTGAATATCAAATCAACGAATGATACTTTTGTATACTTTTGTTACTCTTTTCCTTGAATAATTTATGGTTAGAATTTTAATCAATTAGATTTCTGTGTATACTTCAATTAACTTGCCAAGAATGACACATACATGTTGATTATCCTTAATGTGTTCTTTTCCTTCCATTTTTATTGTTTTCAGCATTCAATTGAAATGAATATAACATACGAAAGTTAAATTTTTTAATATAGTGTTAAATGAATATAACTTGCCAAGAATGACACATACATGTTAATTAAAAATTACCGTGCGTAGCACATGACTTAACCTAGTTAATAATATATTGAACTAAAAAGATGGAGAATCTCCGTCTTAGAGAGAAAATTTCATTGCACTTCTTTTCATTCCAAATTCAAGAATACGATTGATTGGTATTTGCGCTTCTCTTATTACCTTTATTTATTCTCCTTTTCTTCAGATACAATTTAATCCTTCTATGACCAAATCTAAATTTGTGGTCCTGGACCCTGGGGACCGATAGGAACTATGCCAACAGACTTACCCAATAAGCATTAGCATAATGATATATGGACTTATGAAAAACTATATATACATTCTTACATATTACAGAGTAGTAATTAAACATGATCAAAGTTAGTATGAGAATGGTGTTAAAAGTCAATAATGCAATTATTATGAAACCAAGGAAGTAAATATTGTAAAACATGAATCCATATAATTTTAAAAAATATTTCAAGGACGATCAAAGTGTTATTCGTAATTAGTATGCCTAAAACAAAAGCACTCTACTTTTCCGATACACATTATGAAGAAAGAGCTTCAATCTCCTCACTATTGTCTTTGAAACAAGTTTAAATAAAACGTTAAATAGCGCAATAAGATGATATTGGGACGTGTGTGAGAGAGATTTTGCCTTCAAAATGAGATCGACAAATATTGGCCATGTTTATGGGTTTTTTAGTCCCTTGGAGATCACCAAAGCAATGTCACAACTTGTGCGTACGAATCACCTTCAAAAACATTGAATATTTCAATATTGGAATGTTTACTTCTGATGATTAAGTTAGACGTCGAAAATATAAATGGAGAGAGAGAGAGAGAGTGTGTGTGTTAAAGCGTTTGCGCATTTTGCCTTAAATTATGCGATAAAAACTGTTACGTACGAATCACTTGCAAAAACATTGAATATTTCAATCATTGGAATGTTCAATTCTGGCGATTAAGTTAGACGTTGGAAATGTAAATGGAGAGAGAGAGAGAAATGTTCAATTCTGGCGATTAAGTTAGACGTTGGAAATGTAAATGGAGAAAGAGAGAGAGGGGGGGGGGGAGGGGAGAGAATAAAAACATTTGCACATTTTGCCTTAAATTATGCGATGAATGTATTGTCAAGTGAAGATATGATGGCGGTATTTATACTCTTTTAAGATGGCATGATCCTAGGGTTTATTAGCTAAAAAAGCATACGTTGATTGACCTCCAAATACGTGAATGACAAGATTTCAAATGAGAAACATGGAAGAAGTATCTAATAAAAAAAAATTGTCAGTTAAAATGTAAAGTATAGGTTGCAGAAACATTATAATTATATAAAGGATAGTTTGTGGGGATATGTTTTAATGTTAGTATATTAAAGATTTTTTTTTTATAGAAAAAAAAGGTAGTATAAGGCCATATTTACTACTCATTTAAAAATAATAGTAAAAAATAAGTTCAATATGGTAAAAACAATTAAGTTTAGCAAAATTAATCTAAGCTTTGTATAAATCAATAATTAGAAAGAAATCAATAATTGTAAAGAAAAAATATAATAGAAAATCTGTAAAATAATTTCAGATCAACAAAAATAATTTCATTTTAATAAAATAAATTAAATTCAGTAAAAATAATTCTAGTTCAAATACTCTCTCTGTTTTTATTTAAGTTTCCCAGTTTTACTTTGGCACTGTTCAAAAGCATCCGTTTGACTAATGTTTTTGCTTTAAAGTAAGACTAATATATAATCACGTGGGTACTTATTAGAATTGTTTCAATGCATACTTTTTAAGTACCAATTTTTTATAATTTAAACTTATCGATAATTAAATATATACTCTTTCCGTGTTTTTATAAGTGTTACACTTTTTAAATTCGGCTGTATTTTAATAAGTGTTACACTTCCTGTTTTTTTTGGGTAAAAAGTTACAGAGTACTTTTAAATATTATATTTCTCTCTTCTCATTATCCCCACTCAAACCCACTACTACTTTATTATTATTATTATTATTATTATTATTATTATTATTATTATTATTATTATTATTATTATTATTATTATTATGATTATTATTATTATTATTATTATATACTTCCTCATACATTCATTACTTTTCAATAATTTATCAACTCCACTATCTTTCTTTTACAATTTTTTAATACTCTAAGTACCCCACTTACCTCTTATTTTATTTAAGTTAATTAAATTGCCTAAAATTATGTGTCGATCAAACTGTAATACCTATTAAAACACGAAGGGAATATATATATATTCCGTATTAAAAAATCTTGATCAAAATTAAACACTTAAATAAAAACTAAAGGAGAAATATTAATTCGGCATATATATATAGGATAAGAAAGATTTTATGTGCATAAAATTTTCACTGAATGTGCATATTTTTTGAATTAAATGTGCAAAATGTTTTTGAAAAGATACATTAAATCTTCACAATTTACAAATGTGACGTCAAGCGTTTTAGTATAAAATCCGATAACATATATAAGGGGATAGTATAAAATCCTCATTTATATATATATATATATATATATATATAATTTTCATTGAAAAGATTCATTAAATCATCACAATTTACAAATGTGACGTCAAGCGTTTTAGTATAAAATCCGATTATATATATAAGGGGATAGTATAATATATATATATATATATATATATATATATATATATATATATATGAAAAAATTCTTAAAATGAGAAGGATTATGTGCATAAAATTTTCAATGTGCATATTTTTTTCAATAAAATGTGCAATTTTTTTTTGAAAAGATACATTAAATCTTCACAATTTACAAAAGGGACGTCGTTCTCCAAATCCAACCTCACCTCAGCCGGGAATCCGGGATAGTATAAAATCGATTACAAAAATAAGCTTTCTCGTACAATATATATATGATTCAACCCAAAACCAAAAAGACCATCTTCCACATTCCTATACAACATTCCATCGTCCTCGTTCTAAGGTCACGCCTGACTTTCTCCCCAGACCACCATCATTATTTTTTTACTCCTCCTGCCATTTAAATATACACAGTCATAAACTCATAATCATCAACCTCTTCTTCTTCTATTTATATAAGTACTCGAACTATACTTTATATTAGTCATACTGTTCTTCTTCATTCCTGAATCCTCATTCTTTCTCGGCATCCCTTAAATTTCTCCTTTCTCTCTCCTCTCTCTCATTTCTTCTGTGTGTTTCATTTTCCAGCTAATCCACCTATATTACCGTACTAATTTCAAATAAAAACAAACTCAACCCATAAACAAACAAAAACAAAATCCCCATTTTTATTTTTTTCTCTAACTTTCTCTCTCCTCCTATGAGACTTCCCTTCCGAACAATACTGTGCAATCATTACAAACGCACTTGTTCATTCCTCTCCCTTTTCAACCCCATTCTACTCAAACACCACCACCACCAACCACCTTTACCACCACCAACAACACTCCAAATGAACACCTTCTCCTGCCTTAGACGCCGCCGAGTTAAGGATAAAGACCAAAAACTCCTCGTCATAATGGGTCCCACTGGTTCAGGAAAATCAGGCCTTTCAATTAAACTCGGAACTTATTTTCCTTCCGAAATCATCAACTCCGACAAAATCCAACTTTACAAAGGCCTCGACATTACTACCAACAAAATCCCATTAATCGACCGACTCAACATCCCTCATCATCTACTCGGTGAAATCGACCCTAAATTACAACCAGAGTTAACCCCATTACAATATCGAGCTCGAGCATCGTCTATCATTTCCAGCATCACCTCTCGCCGAAAACTGCCGTTATTAGTCGGCGGTTCAAACTCATTAATCCACGCTCTTTTATCCGTAAACCCGGATTCGGACCCGTTTTCCGGGTCAGACCCAGACCCGGTTAGCTCAGAGTTAAGATACAAATGCTGCTTTCTTTGGATTGATGTGTCATTGCCAGTGTTAAACGAGTATTTGATAAAACGAGTTGATGATATGCTTGACTCGGGGATGGTGAACGAGTTAGCCGATTTTTACGAGTCAGAAGTTGATGAGTTGGCGCCTAATATAGGGCTAACGAAGGCAATTGGTGTACCAGAATTTGAACGGTACTTCAAGTGTGATGATCAGGTGCGGAGAGGTGTATACGATGAAGCAGTGAAGAATATCAAGGACAACACGTGTCAGCTTGCCAAAATACAGATGGAGAAAATCCAACGGCTGCGAAATTCCTGGTGGGGTCTACATAGAATCGACGGTACTGATACGTTTAGAGCGGTTTTGGATGGGAGTAAGAATTGGAGTGATATATGGGAGAAACAAGTGGTATATCCAAGCATTAAAATCGTGAAGAACTTCTTAGAGGAGTGAGTAGGTTTATATTTTACAGCTTTTTTTTCCTCTGTTTTTTTTTTTTATTATTTTTTTTTTTTTTTGAAGTTATTTTTTTTCCCTGAATATTAACTACTACCATGTATATATGGTGGGTGAAACGTGAAAGGATTTTTTTTAGGGAGGCTAGAATAATTTCAAAAAATTTTGACCTTGGTTTTTCATAAATTCAAAACACAGGAAAAAAAAGAGATGAAATTTTGAAATGTATGATGGTTTCCTTAGTTTCTCTGTAATGTACTTGGCGCGGATTGGTTGCGTTAACTGTTGTTATGGTGGTGTGTCGTGAATTGAGATTAAATCTTGTCTACATTTGTTTGTGGGTACCTACAAAAATTATAAGACAATCTTTTACTTGGTGGACATTTTTTGGTTTTTATTTTTAAACTTTACTGTTTGATTTGTTAATATGCCACCATGTAAATGATGATCTAAACCTTTGTATCTTTGCCTTTACCTTCATTTGAGTTTTGACAGCAATTTGTACATTGTGAGACGATTAACCAACAGTTTTTTTAACATCTTCTAGTTACATGATTATTCCATCTTTTATTTTAATACATTGGATAAGCATAACATATAAATATGATCCTATTGTATTAGTTTTGGTTTGGAGTTTCTCTTTGATGTGCTACTCCATGTATTAAAATATACAACTACATACCAATATATACCAACTTACTACTACTCCATAATAATTTACTATCATAACCATTAATTAAAAAACAGTTTGAGAAAAGGACATATAAACTATACTCGTACTATATAAAGCCTATTGTTGGAATTTATATCTTAAACATAGCTAGCTATAAGCCTACACCATAACTAATATTCTTCAAAATGGTAAGTGTGATATTTTAAGGAATTAGCTAGGGTTGAAGATACATTTAAGCATAAAAAGTTATTGTATATTTGTATGTAGAGGTGTCCACCGTGCGAGCTGGGTTAGGGTTAGGTGGGTCGCGGGTTGGGGTTTCATGACACACGGCACGACACACGTAGGGTAGGGTGGGCCGGGTCGTGGGTTGGGTCGGAGAAGTTGGACACACCAGGGTTAGGTTCGTGGGTTAGACGAGTCGTGGGTGGGTCGAGCTGGGTTTGTGGGTTAGACGGATCGTGGGTGGGTCGAGCTGGGTTTGTGGGTTAGACGGGTCATGGGTGGGTCGAGCTAGGTTCGTGGGTTAGACGGGTCAAGGTGGGTTAGTGAGTTAGGGTGGGTCGAAGGGTGGGTTAGTGGGTTAGGGTCGGGTGGGTTTGTGGGTTAGGTGGGTTAGGGTCGGGTGGGTTAGTGGGTTAGGGTCGGGTGGGTTTGTGGGTTAGGTGGGTTAGGGTCGGGTGGGTTTGTGGGTTAGGGTCGGGTGGGTTCGTGGGTTAGGGTCGGGTGGGTTGTGTGGTGTTTTAATTTTTACAAAATTAACAATTTGATGGCTTGCTCTTAATTAAGATGCCTACGTATCCTTATATTATAAAATAAGGAATCAAAGCCAGCGTAGTTCTTATATTGTACTTCTTTTGAAATTTGGGGGGGGGGGGGCTTGGACCTATCTTTAGAAAACTAAAATTTAATTTTGCAATTAAATTGTAATTTTCGAAAAATAAGTTGCCTACGTATCCCGAAAGAATCAAAGCCCACGTAGTTCTTAGCGTACCTGATTTAGACTTTTCTAGCCACCCATGTTTGTTGCATCATCATCCCCGGAAGCTGCATCATCCGTTGACGACTCCAATATCATCACAGGATCATCTTCATCGTCTTCGTCTTCCTTTAAACCTTGAGTTCTTCTTTCAGCTTGATCCCAATCTTTCTTACAAACACAAATTTGAATGCTTTCCGGAGTTAAGCGAGATCTTTTTTCATCTAACACTCTTCTACCTGCACTAAAAGCAGACTCGGAAGCAACAGATGAAGCGGGAACTGCAAGTATATCTTTTGCAATTCTCGCCAATATAGGAAAACTTTTTTTATGTTCTTGCCACCATTTTATAATTTGAAAGTTGTTGTTGGTCTCATGTTGATATGACAAATAATCATTAATAGCAAGTGTTGAAGAAGATGATGATGAGAATGATGTAGATGCTTTGTGTTTTTTTTTCATAACTTTATCAAGAAAACCAAATCTAGAATCGGAAGTGCTAGTAGTAGTTGGTGTTGCCAAATCAAAACCATAAATAGATGCATAATGATCATAAAGGTCTCCCAAAACAGATTTGCATTTGTTAATATATTCACTAACATCATAATCGATACTTAAACTTGTATAATAAAATTCTAAAAGATTTTCCAAACCTTCAGCTTTGACACCGGGGTCAAGAATAGCAGCAATTCCATAAATGATTGGAAATTCACTAAAATAAGTATGCCACTTACGTTTCATGCTATCAAGAACGGGACGAAGTCCATCAATCTTCATATGCTCTTCGATGGTGTGAACAACTTTAACACACTCAATTATGACTAAATGAACGTTAGGCTCATAAATATAAGAGAAAATATGAGTTGCACTATCAAAAGCATTTAAAACATCACGAACAAAAGAAGCATTAGTCCAATGACTTTCGGTTATTAACTCAGTAGGATCAACACGAGTCTCATTGTAAAGTTGGGTCAAAATATCACGATACTTTATAGCATCACTCAACAACTTGAAAGTAGAATTCCAACGGGTAGGGGTATCAATAGACCATTGTCTTTTCTTAAGACCTCTCTCTTTACACATAGCTATGTACTTTCTTCTAACTGACTGAGTAATCCTAATCCATTTTATAACTGTTCTAATTGGGTTTAGCAATGGTTGCAACTCAGCGAGACCCTCTTGAACAGACAAATTCAAAATATGAGCACAACATCTAACATGCAAGAGACTACCACCCAACAACAAATTCAACTCGGAGTCATTTTTCAAATAGTCAATACACTTTGTGTTTGCAGTTGCATTATCAAGAGACAAAGAAAAAACTTTATTATTCAAGTGAAATTCTTTTAAACAATCCAAAATACGAACTTTGATGTTAAAACCGGTATGCCTTTCTTCCATAGCTTGAAAACATAGTATACGTTTTTGAATAAACCAATCATCATCCACCCAATGAGCAGTAATGCAAAGAAAAGGTTCGCCAAAACTAGAAGTCCATGTATCACTTGTAAAACTAACACGACCATCAAAAGTACGAAATAATTCAATCAAACCACTCCTATACTTATAATAAGAAGTTTGTGTATAACGTCTTAGGGTATTTCGGGGGACACGAGTAAATGCAGGTTGTAATGCAACTTTATTAAAATGCTCAACGTTTGCATTTTCACCGTAACTAAAAGGGTATTCATTAGCAATAACTAAAGTACTCATTTCATCAATCATTCTATCTTTATTATAAATGAAAGGTGTACCTCCGCCGGGTTGGTTCATGTATCCACCCAATTGTGTTTGGACGCCACCCCCCGAAGGACGGGGGCCATTTTCGAACAAGTCGTGTTTATTTTGCAAATGTCGACTCAAGGTTCCGGTTCCATCTCCCGTTTTCCAATTATATGACTTGACATTTGCACCTAGCGCCTTGCAAACTAGGCATGTACACGTGAACCTCTTTGGTTGACCAGGTTGCCATCCCGGGGGTGTGACCTCAACTCGTTCAAAATGTTTCCACACCCAAGAAAAATGTGCTCGACCTCTACTTTCACCGCCACCACCTTTCATAAATCAAATTATTAAAATTAATTTTTAAATGCTATTCATGAAAATAAGCTTTTAAATTTTAAATATTTTAATTATACTTATTTAAACGCATTTTTCATGGTAATTAACTAATTGTAAATCATAGAAAATTGGAAACTAAACTAACTTTATAATCATTAATAATAGTTTTTTTAAATATTCATAACAATAAAAATTTAATTAGAAATTACCTTGAGATGAAGGTTGAGATGTTGGTTGCGATGGAGGTGGCATAGTTGAACTTGATGATTGGTGGGACTCGTGGGAGAAATGTTGTGGTGGAGACGTTTGAATATTTTGCCTATCTCCTAAACCATAATCTCCATATTCATTGACAAATTGGTTTAAATTTTCCGTATTAATTTCATACGAAAAATTTGCACCACCACTCCTTTGGCTACCACTTCGACCACCACTTTGACTCCTTCCCATTCCTCCTCTTGAGCTCATTTTTTTTTGTATGATTACTAATTATAATATGGAGAAGAACTTTTTTTTTTTTAGAATCTTAAGAATACTAATAATAATATTAAGGAGATTTTTTTTAACAAAAATATAACTCTATATAACACTTGAGAATTTGAGAACAATAAGAATTTTTAAGTAAGAGAGAAAGAAAGCTTGAATTTGTGTGAAAATTTGAGTGAAATGGAATTGGTATTTATAGGAAAAATAGAATGGATGATCATACACTTAAAAAACTAGCCGTTAGATATAAAAAACTAGCCGTTAGATACAAAAAACTAGCCGTTTTTTTTTTTAAAATGGATGTTAGGCCGTGCGGGTCGTGCGAATTGTGCGGGCTGTGCGGGCCGTGCGGGTTGTGCGGCCGTGCGGGTTGTGGCCGTGCGGGTGGGTCATGCGTGCGGGTTGGGTGGGTCATGCGTGCGGGTTAGGTGGGTTGGCTCGTGCGGGTTGGGTGGGTCATTCGTGCGGGTGGGCCGTGCGGGCTGGGTTGTGCCAGGTGGGTCGGGTTAGGTGGGTTCACGGGCTAGGTGTGTCGAATTAAATGAGTCAAAACGGGTTGTGCGATTTGGGTCGAATCAAACGGGTTAAACTAAGCTGGGTTGAAATGGGTTGTGTCGAAAATTTTGGACCCACGACACAACCCGGATTAAATCCGAGCTGTGCCGGGCTGTGCCGGATTGAAACCGGGTCGGACCCACGTGACCCACCAGCCGTGCGAGTTAGGGTGGGCTGGGTCCAACCCGGCCCACTGGCCACCTCTATTTGTATGTTTACTTTCTAGGAGAATAGGAGAACTGGAGAGGCCTTGAATCCTATTGAATGGTCCTTCTCCTATAGTCCTATTATATAGACTTGTTTTATTGCTTATTTATGTCGTTATAAATAATGTGTGCAGTTTCCTTTTTGAGCAAACTTTCTTAAACTTTTACTCTTCAACCTTATTCTCTCTGGTACATTTTCTTTCCCAATGCATTCTTTGTTTCAAGACAAGTATGCTAGGTAATATGAGACATGAAACACATAACCAACCATGAATAGAAACTCTAATGCTTATAGCTGGATGGTATAAGGAGGTTCGAACAAGTAAAATTCTTAGACAACGTATTCTGTTTTTTTTTCTTGTCATATACAACAAAACTTTTGGAGATCTTTTGCGTCAAGATATTACTAATGATAACAAATAAATGAGGACCAATATTATAGCATACACATTTGACGTGACAATACATACATATAGATTCATCTGTTGGTAGCGTGCATCTAAAGTTATAAGTAATTACATTAAGCCAAATACATCTCATTGTACTCTTCTCAACACAATACTTTAGGTCTAAATCAACATTGGCATCTTAGATA